AAAAGTGGAGCCTAGTTTGATTCCTCCAGTGTTCATAGTTATTTTTGATATGTATGGTGGCTTGACAATAACTCTAAAAACTAAGAACTTGAAAGGAGTTGACCCTATGTATCATACATAATCTTTGGTGCCAAGCCGTCCCCCGTTGCAAAATCTGAGGTTCACAGTACGTACAGACGCCCGGAACCATACAAGTATGATAATATGATACGATAGGTTAGAGGCATCTCGCTTGAAGACTTGAGCGGTTGAGCCACCGCAATGGAACTGTGGCTACGGGTGCGGCCGATAGATATATTCGTCACGTGAGTCTGATAAGAAAGTTTCGGTGCACCTTTTGGCTGCGATTTGTCCTTAGATAAGGCACGTGACGAATAAATCTATCGGCCGCACTCGTAGAAGCTGAGTGCGTGATAGTGCGCATAGTACAGGTAGAAACCATCCCGTTCCGAACAACCGCCGCCCCCCACCACCAGCCCTGTATCACCGGTGCTCAAGTATGGTAATACTCGTACCCTCGGCTACATGTTGCATTCTCTTATCTAATCCCACCCGAACCCCACCTCCTATCCAATCCGTCCCCCCGCTCCCCCACCACTCTGATTCCACCACAACTGCAATCTCCGCACCCTCATTCCCCGATCTGGGCTTAAATAAACCCTCCCTTATCCCTGTTTCCTTCCTTCCTTCCTTCCTCCCTCCCTCCATCCGGTCCATCTCCTCGACCACCAATACCCCGAAGGAAAAAAAAGAGAAAAAAAAGAGTAACTCAAGATTCACTACACTCAAATCAAAAGTTAAAATGTGCATGCAAGCGACCTGCGCTACCTGCGGTAAATCCTCCCTCCAGCCCAGTGCTCAAGGTAGTGTGCTAACGGGAATGGAATAATACGATAGGCGGCAAAAGCTGGCGTGGATGCGGTCAACATATTCCCCGCGTCCTCGACAGCGTCCCCGTCGAGGAGTGGTGTAGTTGCCAGAAGCCGGAGGGGAGCAAGTACCCACCTAAGGCTCAATAAGGGACATGCAGGGATAACGGAGTAGTTTATGTCCATGGCTCCGAGAGGAGGAGCGGGAGTGCAGTGATTGGCTTTGTCGAGCTGGTGCTCGTTTATCCCGGGCGTGTTATGGCGAGCGGTTGCTGGTATTGTGTATGTGCGTGCGTGCAATGCTGGTACGGGGGTTATCTCTGCTTTTGCGGGCGAATTGAGAGAGCGAATTGATTTCCTATTTCTTGTTTCCGGTACTTGAGCTCGATAGTGGACAGCCCCCCAGGCCACTGCGACATCAGCCCACTCACCTAGACAGACGCTGATTTGTAGGTTTCGTAAACCACGAGGAAACGAGTGGTGATTGTCTCAAACACCTCTACCAGCATCATCACCACTGCAAAAAGCCATCCCGAATCAGTGAGGTTGCCACAGCCCATCCAAGTGAACGGCTGCGAAGATTGTTATTTTGGTGATGGGGAGGGTGTTATGGAATAAGCAAGTGGACCCGCAGTCGCTCACGGACATACCGGTGCTCGTAGACCATCCGCCAGAATGCGCCCGTCGTTCCTACATCTAGGTGCACCCCCCATTCAGAAATCAGGATTAGACTGCTTTGACGCTCAGTTACAAGTTGTACAATATTTGTAGCGGTTCACCACTAGGGTTTTCAAAGTTAAAAAGGTAGTGAAAATTTAGCTTACTTTGCTGTTTTATATAAACTTGGCATGCACTGAAATTGTTGATTTACTGTTACTTAACTTTACCATACCATAGGGTAGAGACAGAGGTCTGGAGGTCAGTAACAGATACTGGTCCTGGTTTTACGCAGCTTTACTAAACCTCTAAAATCAGATACAGTATAAAAAGAAAAATTTAAAAAAAAATCCAAAACTAATTTTAAAAAATACCATAGCACATCCCAGGAATAATTATGTACTCTCACTGATAAAAATCTTCCAACTTTTGATATTTTGTTGACAGAAACAGGTTTCTTACTATCTCTGTAAGATTTACCATACCCTTTGTACTTTGCCTTCAGTTATCCCAGGACTCTCAAATATGGTACCTGGAACATGAGGATGCTTGGCTGATACCAGAAAGTAAGCTTATACAACTTCCGGCATTTACTCATTACTGAAAAATCATGTTTTTAACATTGGAAACACCTACTGCAAAGAAAAAGGCACCCCTCCCCTAAGGTACACCCGATTCAACATCTCCCCGGGTCCAGTGGCTCCCCACACACCCCTACCCTCTCCTTCCTCTCTCTCTCTCTACCGGTACCAGCGTCCAGAAAGGAGACCCCCCAGGAGAGACCTCCCCAGAATGCCCGGGCTGCCTAGGAGGTTAGTCCAGTATAGTACCTAGGCCGATACCGAGCTAAGCCCCTTTTGAGTGGAGCTAAATACCACATGAAGGGACCAGACCACGACGCCATACTCGAGTAGTCTACCCGCGGTCGAACTATGGCACCCCCACCGTATCATATGATATCATACTATCATAGTACTCGAGTACCCCAGTAGATCCCTAACCCCTGTGTCCAGAGAAGAAAGCATCCGAGGGAGATTAGTTAGCCCTTTACCGACATGGTAGACTACTGGTACGAGTACTTGTAATTTCATCGCGTATTCGGAATCAGGTATTATTAAGAATTTATAGCTTAGCACTACAACCAAGTATGGGTAGAAGGATCCACTCTTAATTATATAATTTATTCGCATTTAGGTCAAGCTTCTGCTCCTGCAGTACATTTTAATTTAGTCTCTCATAGATTAAGAGATAAAACATAATAATACTACCAATATACTTGTACCCACAGCCTTAGCTTTTATAGGATTTCCACTA